CTTTGGACAGTATGGCTATGGAATTTACTAACCACACTGTCCACAATCAGGTGATGAAGTCGCAAAAATTCAGCTGCATTTGGTGGATTAAGTCGCAAAACTTTAGCTTCGTTTTTGTGGCGCCATTTACTATAGGTAGACGGCGGTCGGTTTCGTTACCGGTTGGTACATTAATTTTCTTACAAACATTCAGGCAAAGGCCAGTCAAAGTTGAAACGGGAGTCGGGTTTTTATCGATGTTTGCCATCCTTATATGTGAGCCATCGTAAATTCATGGTTTGACGGAGTTGCGTTAAATGTAAATTTTCGAACTTCTGAAGCCGAGATATTCTATGAATGAAGGCTTGTATCGCAGGCTAGAATTTAAAAACGGGTGACCAAATAATGAATTAGGTGCTAAATTTTGATTTAATGCTGGGTAAGTTAAAAACAGACATTCCGTCCAAGTGGGACTCATTCAAAAATTCGAGGGGGTTCGCTAGAAAAGGGGGGTTCGCCCGAACCATAAAACCCCCCTGGCTACGGGCCTGGTTCGCAAGGTATGGAAATCAAATTCCTGGAAAATGTGTCGTGAAGATCGGAAAGAAGTTTGCAACGCGTGCAAAGTAGCCCTGCACTGGGCCTACAAGTTTTTAACACACGCGCTATGAAAAAAGGGAAAGGGCACGGTTAATTCGCTATTGCGATCCAGAATGTTCGATAGCCCAATTCAATTATGTCTGCACTACTGTCCAAATAAGAATGGAAAAAATAGAATAGCATAATTAAGCCCTGTTGTGAAATGTTGATACAATCCTGGAAAACTCCACCCGGAAAAATGTGGATTTTTTTTGGGACCGGAACACCCAAACCAAAAGTCTGGGTAAATGGATCCCAATGGAAATAAGCTGGAATGATATTTACCGGTTTTTAAAAATTAAAAACCATTTTTTTTTTCGGTTATACGTGGAAGACTTCAGTACGGTACGTTTTAATTAATGTTTTTCTATTGTAATGTTTATTTGTTTTCCGTGCTTCCGAATAAATTAAAATCAAATCCTCTAATTTTAATAAGGATCTTAACTCGTCCCAACATTACCTAAGGATTTCTGGCCGTAGAAGGTGCTCCAACCACCTCCTCTCGTCGGCTAATGCCCATGAGTGCTGAACTCTACAATCTAGCAATTTGTTCCAAGTTTGCACACGCAGTTGTTAATCACCGATGAAAATCATTGATACAAGGCATTAATTACTCGTAATTGTCTTAGGTAAACGGCGACCTCAATAGGTCTGTTCATCAAAAAGCATGAAGATAAAATGCCAACATTTTCTATCGTACCGCCAACATTGTGACGTACACTAAACGCGACAACAGTATTATGAGTTTAACACATTAAGGGAGATTATCAATATCTCCGAAGACAGTTTGTAATGCTACAGTGCTAATTTTCATGTATTTATCATTTTGGAATATGAGACACACTGATAATTAATAGCAATTTAATTTAAGACAATATTTTGGCGAGTGTTGTGTGAACTGACAGTTGTGGAAACTTTTGCAGTAAGGCCAAAACAAGTAGGCCTTTCACCTTATACAGTTACTTGTTTTATACGACGATTATACAGTATTTTATTTCGTCCAAAAGGAAATTCATTAGTGTCACACCCATAAAATTGTGAGAGAGGGTTGAGGACTTTTTTCTCTCATCGGGTACATTTCAGCTAACAATATTACGTTAATATTAGAACGTTGAAATAACGTTACCGTACAGTTTGGTGTTGAAATATTTATTTTGTAGAATCATAAAATACCTACTTAGAACGTCTGGGGCGATTTACAGAAATTGACCAACTCATACTTTATAGAAAGTTACATAACCTCCCAACGACTGGGAGTTTAATCTTCCAGGCTTTCTGAGATTCCACCAATGATCCTGGAGTGAAGAAGAAAATAAAAATGACCACAAAGCCAGAGCCCATAATGCTATTTATAATCTTTTTATTTTATAGATCCAATGAGAGACGAAGCAGTGTCGGGCTGTCAACCAAAGTGCACTCCAGATTTTTGCAAAGAAAATCCAAAAGCCATTTGCTCCGCCATGTAAGTTACATTATAGTGTAGTAATGCGTCACAACAGTAGTTAAACTGCACAAAAGCTTATAATTCACTTACCTGAGGCCGCATAGGTTTTCAAACTTCTCGAAGAAAACCATTAATGCGATACAAGAAAATACATACATGACTAGGACAACAGAATAGGGCACTCTCGAGTATTGTGCTTGTGTCCCGCTAGAAAAGCTGAATTGGTGGTCATAAGCTTTGTAAATTTATTGATTATGTTGTTTGTATACGTTTACGTGACTGGTGTTCATCCAGTCTACTCTGCAACTCAATATATAGGCCTATGCCAGGTTAACAACAGGTCTACCTTCTCTTATGTAAAACTATTAATAATGAACACAAACCAGCTTATCGTATTGTTAAGGATCAGTACTTAACGATTTCCAACTCCAGCAAAATGCTATTAGAAGAAGCAAAACATTCTAGAAGGAGCAGGTTTCCAATGTGTGGTCAAGGGGTACGATTACCCTCTATTCTGATACAATACAGTATTTACCCACCCTCAGCTCACTTGTACCAAAGCGGCCTCCTACTACACTTTTGCATTGACTGGGTTTGGCATTTAACCATGCATCAAGATTATTAACTGTCATTTTTCCCTCAAAGGGATTATTTCCGTTTATTCTATAAATAACGACTTCTAATCATCACAAAAGGGGCACTCTTTTTCATGATCGATCAACAATCATTTTTACCAACTAGCCTGTTTTTATGGCATTAGTATTACCGTTAGAGTCATCTTTATATATATATATACTGTCTCTTATACAAATCTAGGTGCGATCACATTTCGAAACGGAATTGAAAATTTAATGTAACTTCAGCTGGCTGAAACAAGTTTCGGAAACATAACCCATCGTTGATTTATGTGTGTTGGGGCCTCCTGTGTGTTTTACTGTTGGGGACCGCATGGAAAACGAAATGTTAGAACCGAATGCCAACATAGATACGGTACTCACTGCGTCGTACGAGTACGACGATCGTCGGTCCACGAATCCCATCCGCTCCCTGTGAACGCTAGACGGCGGAGGGAGTAGAGTTGGAGTCGTACGACGCATTGAGTGCCCGGCGTAACTCAAAACGTCACCGACCATCAGCGCCCATCTTTTATGCCAATACAACTGCACGGTATTAGTATTTCCAAATAATTTATATAATTCTTAAGATACAATCTTCGCAACTGGCAAATTAAATTCTATTGTCTAAAATTCTAGACATAGGCCTAATTATTTCTCATATAGTATAGTCATTTTCCACGCTTCAGTTTTATGCTAATTTTCAATAATCATTTATCATAAAGTAAAATTATGTAGGTCCTTAAAAAAAAAATCGTGAAAAACAATTAAATTAAATTTTGTAAAGCTCATTTAAAATGATCAAAAAATACGTGTTATGATCTATCCATGTATCGACAGAAATTCTAGGTATTCTGTCTGCTAATAAGTCATTATAGATAATGATGAGTTCTGTATAGGGATAAAATATAAAACCTTTCCCCCGAAACAGCAGCTTTTGCCGAAATTAGCTAGCTCTCAAGGGACTAGCTAGTACAATCGCTATTGTTGCTCATAACTTTCTCATTCGAATATTTGAAAACATTGAACTTCATTAACCCGTGGTATATAACTGGAGATAATGCCGATAAGAAATCAAAATATTACAGCAAGCTCATGCTGTTTCAATAATTTGCGTTCTTCGGAAATTACGCGATTAGGTCTACTAATAACTATCGCAACTGAGTTTCCAATTTAATTCTAAATATGAATTGAACCTAGCACCCCGCGATTTAACCTTTCAAGAAAATACAATAGCGGTGGTGAGAGACGAACCACCGGAAACAATGTGAAAGTATTTATTCAAAACAAAACTTACTAAATAGCGGAGATGTCTGTTTTACGCCTCCGGTTAAGCACATTATGTTTCGTGCCCATGGTTGGATTCCATGGGCTAAAAGAGTGCGAGTGCCAGTCGACTTCCCCGCCCCGGGGCACCCGGCCCTAATCATCTGCCAATGTTTCGTCAAAATTGCGGTACGCCCATCGCAGGGTTTCCGGCAGCAAAGATCAACTTCACACGGTGATACTGCGCACTCGCCCGTGACTAAAAACAAAATAAAAATATTCAATTGTCAAATAACTTAACATTCCACATGGTAAAATAAATATTTATTTTCAGAATGAATCCAATAGTTTCATACGTGGTTTTTGTAAATACTAGGCAATTATGTTCTTTGTACAATGTTTGTATTCGTGGTGGTATTGCTTCAGGTATTTATACCTCCACGGTTGATGCCTTCTGTACAATTATTGGTCAGGCGTTCTGTTATTTCAAACTAGGTTCCTCATTGTGATAACAATTATATAGGCTATTACTGCTTATGCCTAGTATATATTTATATTGTTATTAATATTATCTTAAAATTATATATTTTATCATTATTGTCTTCATCTGCATCATCTTCGACATCTTTATCTTCGTAATCGTCGTCGTCGTCATTACCATCATCAACACCATCATCATTATCCTTGATATTATTATGGCTAAAGCCGGCCAAGTATAAACCTTAAACACCGTTCAAGCTAGTTACTAGGCCTATAGGTCTATACCTCAAACAGGTATTTCCTTTTCTCGACCCTGCCTCATAATCGCATACGTTTCCATTCAACATTCTTCAATCAGTACAGCCGTTCCTGATTTAGAACCGACGGAAAACATGCTTGTAAACGTAATCTTGGTTGAATTGAGGACGGACTTATTTTTGGTACGATTAATACCAGACGTTAAATCAAGTTGACTAGATACCTGACCTTTTACGCCTGTCAATTACCTGTACCTGTACAACTGATGTTCTCACACACAGGTACTTGTCTAAATACTTTTAACAGGTAATATATACACAGGTAACTGCAGCCATGCTTCATAAAGGAAGTAGTTCCATTACAACAGATATTGGAAAACCAACTTGTTTATCTACTGACCTGTTTTTCAAATCCAACGCAAAAATATATCTATATAAATATATACCTTTTGCCTATTGCGTTGACCTATCCTTAGGTCTTCATCAAGGTACATGTTTCTAAAGTCTATGGTATCAGATGTGTATAAGAGACAGCATTAAGGGAGATTATCAATATCTCCGAAGACAGTTTGTAATGCTACAGTGCTAATTTTCATGTATTTATCATTTTGGAATATGAGACACACTGATAATTAATAGCAATTTAATTTAAGACAATATTTTGGCGAGTGTTGTGTGAACTGGATTCGAACCTGCAGCCTCTCGATATCAAGGCGAGTATCATACCCGGTATGATACTCGCTACAGTAGATTGACTTAATTGTATTTCTAGGGCCCTAGTCTAAGTAAAGCGCAAGAAAGCACCGTAGTAGCTGTCATTATTTATAGCTTGTAATAACTTGTAATAGCAGTGATATAGCCATTAAGCAGCACACATTTCCTAAAGTACTCATGTTTGCTGTAGCACATCAAATATTTTTATGTGCTATGTGCTTCATATTTAATGATAGTGATATTGTCTGCAATAGCTGGGGTAAGTATTTAAAGGCATTAAATAGCGCTTAATATGGTAGTAGCTGGTCATTAGCTACATATTGCAATAGCTTGTAATAGCAGTGATATAGCAATTAAGAAGCACCCATTTCACGTATTGTTTGCTGCCCCGCGCTTTTCTCCCTAGTCTGCCAGTATGGTTTGTGACGTTTTGTTCCGATTCAGGGGACAGGTTTACATTTACAATATATAAAGCAAATTTAGGTACCTTCCATGATACTGAAGACAATAATATGCCGAGTGTCATGCACATTTGGCATTATTATAGATATATATTTTATTTATTTATTTTTTAATTTATTTATTTCAACATCATCCAACAGCGACCAGTGTCGCCCATAAAAGGATTTATACAGGATTTATAATCCACATGGATGAAAATTGCGTGATAGGGCCTATCGCAGTGTTTACGATGGGTAGGCCTAGTACTTTTATGTCATAAGGCCCATATGCAACTTTGGTAGTCCTGGAGAGTGGATGTTGATAGGCCTATTGAAAAGGGGTTAACATGGCGTGAGAGATACATTTTTTGACATTGAACACAATTGAACCGTTGCAATTGTTGGTTGAACCGGCCTTGATGATGCAAGTTGTTCCCAACACCATCTGTCGGACGTTTCGCCTCCTCCAACTGTATCATCAACGCATCAATTGCCCTTCAACACTGGCCTAGCATCACTTCAATCATGTACCGCTAATAGTAATACAGGCAAGAAAATTGTTATAATTTTAGCGCATTAAAACAACTTGGGAGGCGAAGATCACTTTCTTGACGTCGGATCATCTTTCATTAGTGTATAGAGTGATCATAACAGATCGTACCGTGATTATATTTATAATAACGAATGTCGTGCTCCCGACCGTGTAGCCTACACTGTGAAAGTGACGAATGTATTGAGTGATAAAACAAAATCAATTAGTAAGTCTACAGCTTTCCACACATACATAAGTTCTTCGAGTTCATTGTAGCCGATGTTAAACCTAAATGAGTACAGTATTGTCTATGTAGAAGGAGGGAAAAAATATACCGTATTGAACATATCTGTGATTAAACGCAACACAGAACTACCTGTATAGTATTATGTTGGCCTACCGATGTAATAGGGATTTCGCCGACCCCTGGTGAATTCGGCCTCCCTTACATATCGTATCGTATAGATACCGGTACGCCGATAGTGTCCAACCTCAGTTTATCTCTGCATTCGAGAATCAGACTAGTGCTGTTCCGTACTTACAAGACAGTGAAAATATTCTTCTAATCGGTTTTAGTTTACCTCGAAGCCGCAATGTCCCAGCTGTTTAATTAAAGCGTAGGCTATGCATATTATGAAGCATGGAGACTTTGGGGCGAGTTTTTTTATCTTCTTTAAATACGGTTTTACATAGGCCTATTTATTAACGTGACATA